AAAGAATACCCCTTAGATATTGTAAAGCCCATCTCCACGGCCGCGGAGGTGACGGCGCTTGGAGCGTTTTTTAAAAGCAGTTAATATAGAGGCCCTTTGGGATACATTGCTATGAGCAAATGCAGTTTATTGCGACCACCTATTCATCGTTGCGTGTTTCTCACCGATAGGGCCGATAAGCGCACATAGAGGTAAAAAGAGGTACACATAGAACAGCCAAAACTAACTTGCAGAAGAGGATATTAGAATGAAGACGTGCGTGCGATCACCATATTGAAAGTACAAACACACAAAAGTGTCTCCAGCATCCACAACCACCACGCATGCGTGCGGTACTAACATAGTATAACCATAATTTAAATAATCCCGTTCTCCTTTTGTGTAAACCCCGAGTGCCCGAACGACTGGTCGGCGCTGACGCGGTAGCCCCGCGTCCTGTGTGATCCTTTCGTCGCCCAGGTGAAGTGGGGCGACGTGGGGTCAATGAGGAAGTCGCCGCGATCGGGGAGCGTGATAATGTTCCACCTTACACGACGTTAGGCCGGGTATAACACTTTCTACACGAAAAGGAAAAAACGTACTGATGCCTCCCCGCCGTGCTGTATCCTGTCACGAGCGCGCAGTTCAGGCCGCTGATATCGCAAAGAATCTTGAACAGCAGCGCCTTGTGACGACACAGGCCGATGTCGACCTCGCACAATAGCATAAGATTGTGCCCTTGGCTACGTAGGCAGCAGATGAGTTTTTCAATTGAGCCGAAGTATCTCCAAGAAAAGCTCACCGAAGCATCTGCTGGTAGAGACGCGCGTCCGCATCTGCCGACGTCGGGCCTCCCGGCAATCCATAGTCGCCCAATGTATCGCGGACGACCTTCAAAAGGAATTCAACTAAAGTGGGATCGAGTTTGTGCCTGATCATGAAATTCAGGTTAAACGACATTTCGTGCAGCTATAGCCTTAAATAAAAGAGACGCTGACTTAGGAAGCTCATCCGTAACCCTCCTAATCGCATTCCTCAGCTTAACGTCCTTTGTCGAGTTCACGATGATGGTCTCACTGTCGGCACTGGTGATCTTGTCCCCCGACAAATGGAAGATCTTCCACCTTGAAGAATAGAATCATTAGAACACCGTAGCGGGATATGAAGAACTGGATAAGATAACGCACGTGATCTCGCCCGTCCGCTTGTTTTTGTACCGCCACGGCACAACGAACTTGGTGTAAGGGGCAACGACGGAGGAAGGGATGCAGCCGTCTCGCTCGGCGTAGAGCAGGGAGAGGAAGGGGTCGTACTGGGAGCCGTGAAACAACCAGTTCTCGGGGTCGCAGAGTGCACACGCTCTATTTCGTTTGATATATATAAGCGACACCCCAGCTCGTGTAGACCGACACCCACCCAAGTCGAGGATTGTCCCTATAGCTCCTCAGGCGGTACTCAACGAGCCCCAGCTGATCGCGTTCGACGAAATAAGCGCGGTTTATCGCATTCCCCGGCGCCCTCTTATCCCCCGGCTGACAAGCTCGTTTGATCGTGTAGCCAGGCGAAGGCACAGCCGGCGGCGGAACAGGCCTGGTTGGCGCGGGTGACGGGGATCCGGGCTCACTCGCGGGCGGGCTCGGAAGCGAAGTCGGCAAAGCGGACAAGGAGGAGGAAGAAGAAGATGAGGCGATGGGCTGGCTGGGTTTCAAAGCCGACGAAGGTGTCAAGGGCGGTGAGGGCAAAGATGAGGCCGACGACGAGGCGGATGAGGTGTTATTGTTCACGGTGGTGATGCTGCCCCTCCTCCCGCCCGCGCCGAGCATCCCACCAAGGCGCTGCGGGGACCTGGGCGGGCTCTCGGTCCTGTAGCAAGACGACTCGGAGCACCTAGAGGAGGACGAGCATGACGACGAGAGCGAAGCGTTGGCTCTCCGCTGCTGCTGATGATGCTGGTCACGCCGGCGCGGGGGTTGAGATGATCGTCCCCGCGGCTCGTCCTCCTCCGTGGCCGGGGGCTGGTCGGACTCGTTGCCGGCCGCCGGCATTCAACGGCGCAAAAGGTATTTGATGATGGGAGCCTCGCGGTTCGGGATGGGATTGCGGGTCTAAGGAAGAGCAAGGAAGAGCATCAGAGGAGTACTAGGCCATTAGATTGAGGATGGAGCGAGAGCATGGGGCCACCACGCCGCGATCTTGCACCGGATCTGCCCCCGGCGGCTTCAGCACCAAGGGTCGCACGGTCTTAATAGCCACTACCCGCTAGCCAACGGCGACCGCGATCGTCCTAGGCGCCCGCTCCGCTCCGGTCTCGACGGCGGCACCTCACCTCCTCCGCCCGCAAATGCGAGCGATATTTCGAGAAACTCCGCCGCCAATGTTCGGACAGATCAGTTACTGGAAGAGGCATGCGATCCCCACGCCTGGCCAGAAGATCGCGGAACCGCGGTCGCGTGGACCGCGTGGCCGAAATGCCACGAGAGGGTGAGGCAGAATGGTGGGCCGCAGCGTCGGCACCATCTCTCACAGCATTCAAATATCGAGGAAGGACAACGCGCTCGAGAACGCGCCGTTGATATGTTTTTATGTGTTCTGCGCGTTTTCGAGGCGACATCCGACGTTTTTGCTGCGGAATGGAATGCAGGCGTTTTGAGGACAGCGCTCAGCTTAGCGCCCTTTTCCACCCGCTTCCCTCTGCTTTAGTCAGAGCCAATGCTGTAGGACCGCAGAGGGTTCTTTCGTTTTGGTTTCAGTGTCAAGACCGTCAGCAAGCGAGTATTTACGCGATGAAAGCGGAAGGTGACCCCGCAACAGCTTTACTCGTTTGTATCAGCATCACGGGAGGCGCTCGCTGTCCTGAAGACTAAGCAACCAGTTTATTAGCAATACTTAAGCACAGATGCTGTCGACGTCGTGCTCCAGGGGATCTTTCGCCAACTCGACCCCAACAGCTTCCCCGACAGGGATGCCCTCAAATCCTGCATCTATGTCTCCAAGCTCTTCTACGAGGTTGGTTTCCGCGATGAATAGCCGCTTTTTTACCCTCAAGAACTAGTTGGCCGCCGAGCGGATATGGTCTGTCCACGATTTGTCAACCACATCCCAAGATCTGGCCCATGAGCCTCTGCTGAAGCATCTCGTGGATCTCGACGCGTCGAAACTTGACGACGCGAAATCTGGATCGTTGGAATGGAGGATGGCTATCTGCCTTCGATCCATCCGGCGTCTCAGCTGCTCGACTTCGAGTGCCAACAGCGATTCCGTGGACATTCCGCCCGAAAAGCTGTTGCCGTGCCTCCGAAAGCTTGACTCTGTCGCCGTCGTTGGCGCCACAAGGAGCTGGGCGAAAGCGCTGGCCGAGCGGTTCAAAGATCCGAAGCAGAGGCCCCGCCACATGACCATTACGACTTCCGAGGAGACGATCGCGTTGCGGAAGTACCTAGACGGCTCCATCCCAGATCTTGAGCTCTTTGCCGACGATGCTCATATCAAGAACCCATGCGACGGCTGGGGCCAATATGCGGATTCCGATGCTGATAGCGAAGATGACAGCAGCAGGTATGCAAAGCTGCTTGACGACGTGGGCGATCGAAGCACGGGTCTCAAGGTGTTGGCTATGCAATGCTACAATGGCTATATACAAGGAGACGAATTAATGGCCATGTTGAGGTGCATCAGCGGAAACTGGGACACTTTGCAATCTCTGACGATCGGGCCTGTGCTATACTCCGGCGAAATCGAAGATTTGGATGTGGAGATTACTAGTGCAGAGAACCCGAGGTTGCCAAAATTGAGGCGGCTTGTCATTGAGGAGAGCGATCACTGCGATCTGCTACTACAGCTGCTGCTTTTATGTCACACAACTTTGGCCATACTGGAGACGAAGATAGGGTCCGAGTTGGCCAGTGAGCTGGACTTAAGCATGCTTACCAACCTCAATGCTCTGCAGTTAGAATGCACGGGTGGAGCCTACAACATACCTGCGGGGCTGGCGTCGTTAACGAAACTGGTGAATTTGTATCTCCGAGCGTCCGATTGGACCGCAAAGGAACTTTCAAGGGTGATGAAGGCCATTAACAGCATGGAAGCACTAGAAACTCTATACTTGTACGTGGAGTCGAAGAAAAAAAAGCTTGACGTGGATCTGCCACTTCGTCTGAAGAACCTCCGTAGCCTCGATCTCGTCTGGGAAATGGCGGATCAATCTAACAGTCGCCTGCTCGTCACGGACGCGGAGGAGATCAAACAGTCGGGGTTCCCGCATCTTCAACACCTGTTCATTGGGCTCCGCAACATCGGCCTGCGCTGTGACGGTCACCCGGATAACTCATTTATACCGATCCTTCAAAGCGCGATCGCTGACGCCGACAAGACCCCGTCGCTTTATTATGTTTCGTTATGCTTTCCAATTTATGACGCATCCAGGACGATGACGAGGGCGGAGGTGTTTTCCATGTCGAGGGGCGGACGCAGGCGATTCGAGGGGACTGAGCTTGCAAAGCTGATGGCCTTCAAAGACACGTATTAAGAACACTCGACTTCGGCAGCGATTTGACGCTTCGCAACCCTGGTAAAGCAAAGAAGGCGGATGATGTTGCAGTGGCTTTGATTGACTCTTGACTGTAAAATAAGGTTTAAAGGTTCTTTTGGTTTAACGGGAGGGGTAGCGGAGGGGATTGGTTTTACGTGGTTGGGATGGGCAGACAGTGTTTACTGCATTATTCGCGCCTAATAAAACTCTGCTACCCACGCCTGATACTAAAAAGACCTCACAATCTTCCGCAAGCCCTTCTCTCCGCTGGAATCCCGCGCATGGAGCTATGGAGCTTGACGAGGATCGCGGTATGGCGGTGGGAAGCGGGCAAACCCAGAGTGCCTTGTGCCCCGCCCACTTTTTTGTCGACGTGCGCACCACATTCGCCCACAACCGCGAACTAGTCGTCTCATCGCTTGTAGCGTTCTCTTCTTTTCGATAGTTAATTAAAAACAACAGTTATAATTACTAATGTAGGAACAGCTTGCATGCCTTCTTAGCTCAGCGGTAGTAGCGTCTGCCTCGTAAGCAGAAGGTCGGGTGTTCAATCCACCCAGAAGGCACTCTTATCATCTTTTTGATGGGTTGCGATCCAAACCCGAAGCCTAAGTTTTTTCTTTTTTTTGAGAGGTTGCGTGTTCAATCAAGTGTGCCGGTGATAACTGCACAGAAATAAACGGAAACTGCTTCTGCCCGGATTCAACACCTGACCTTTCCGAATGGAAAAACTGTGCCTTCTGGGTGGATTGAACACCCGACCTCTCAAAAAGAAAAAATATAATGCCCTTCTGGAGCGGTCACTCATGCAGTAGTATTAATGTGTAGGGCATCAGGCCAGGTGTTGCTCGTTTTCGGAATAAAAGGAACGAATTGGAGCGAGAAGGGAGGTTTTTTTTTGTACCGTAACAGCTAGTCTGCATGCTGGTAATTACAACATAGCATTGGTGATAACTCACCAAGGGACACAACGCGAGGCATTCAAAGCAACAGCGTCCTTATACCAATTACCCGCATCTGGTGCATTAACTGCGCGTCAATTACATCGCAAGCGCCTTCGTCGCCATCTCCAGCGCGGACACCTGCCATCATACTTCAGCTTATTGAACGCCTCTTTTGACGATTTACCTTCGTAATTGTTCCGCCAATGAACCCGGACGCGTGCACGAACACACACCCCTCAATGCCCGACTTCTCGCTCAACACGTTATCCCTCAAACCCCGCCACGGCTCCGGCAGCGCCTTCCGACTCTCAAACGACTCCGGTGTCTTTGGAACTAAAGCATACGTCAGTCAAACCAAGTGCACATTCGGAATGACGTACCGGCCTGCACGCGCCACTTCCCAGACTCGTCCGGGTATATGACGTAGTAAGGTTGCACGTCATTGCCAATGTGGTGCTCCGTCTCGAGCCGATGCCTACAGTGATCGGTATTAGCAGGAATGCTGAATGATAAGAAATCTCACAGATGTTCTTTCCAAGGGCAGAACTCCTCAAAAACGATGATCCGGCCGGAGGGGTGGTGCTTATTCCGGCTCGTGAGGCCGCTCTCGACGATTGTCCGGGCTGGGAGCCACGCTTTGCCGAGGTACATCACCTTTCAGATGAAAAGCTCAGTAAACCATGCTCGCGGCGAAATTCCACCCACTCCATCCTCCTCCCATAACTCGAAGACATTTACAAGCAACTCGTACACACCCGGTCCTCAAACTCGGTCCCGACCATCTCGACCGCCCTCGCAAACCTCGCGTCCAAGTCGTCGCTCTTCTGGTTCCACCATGGGTTCAGCCTCGCGACCCTGCTCGAGATGTTGGTCGACTCCTTGTACTTTGGCTTGATGTCGTTCGGGTATTGGGAGACGCCATTGTCGATGCCGTCGAAACCCTCAACAAAGTCGTCGTAGATCTTGGCGTAAAGAACTTTGAGGCGCTCGTCGGATTGGGGCCAAGAGAGCATGTTGGCGAGGACTTCGAGGCCGAAGTGCTGTGATAGGAAAGTTGTTGTAAACATGCCGCCCAAACAAGCCGACGTTCTTGATTACCTTATAAACAAGCCCAGCGCTCGACAACGGTGTGACATGCTTCTCATCAAACGTCCCCTTAAACCCCCTTTGATGATGATCGAAGCGGTTCTTCTCATGTTCATATACGCCCCCGACGTCGACTACAACATCCGCCTTGTTGATCACCTCCTCGTCGCGGGTCCTGGTTACGACTTCATCAATGAAGATGCTTTAGTTGAGTGGAAGTTTAAGTGGAGTTGTTCGAAACAGCGTTGCCTTACCGGCGTTCGCGAACTTCTTGGTCTTCTTCAGCATGTAGACTGCAAAGGCCTCATCTGAGACAGCGGCACGTCAACGACCGGAACCAGGAAGTAGACCATGAAAGAAGATGCCGTGCGAACCTGCGTGGAAGGTCCCGTTGTGCGTCGCGATGCGCTTCGGTGCTGCCATCATGGTGAGCAGGCGACGAAATGAGGACTTTGACCACATCGCGCCAAGTTGATGACAACCCTTCCACTTCCACTAGCGGAGCTTCCTTGGTATGCATTTAAGCAACGCAATAATATATCAGCAACAATTTTAACTTTAATTAAAAAGAAATACAGCAACCAGCTCATTCCTCACGTTCTGTAAACCAAAACGAACACGAAAGAAAAATTAGAGAAAGAGTACGCAAACAAGAAAAAAATCTACTCTCAGCCATTAAAGAAATCTGGACGCAACGCAGGCGGCGCGAGGACTCTAGGGTCAAGATCAAATGCGGCCAATCTTTATCCATAAGCCGCCGACATCGAATTCCCGCCTGCGCTCCACTCTCAAAACTTGATCTCAAGATTGAATGTGCTTGCGAAGGATTTGAACCTTTTTGATTAGCTAGTTTTGATGCCAACCTCCACATCACTTGCACTTTCATTTTTTGGATGGTAAGGAACAACAGCTTCTCCAATTTCAAAATAAATGCACAAGCCCTGTAACGAGTTTTCTTCTTTGCGTCAAGCTCGGCACGGAAAGAAATATCTTGGTCAGGAACAAGAAAGAATTACTAAAGAAGAGTGTCCGGTAAGCCGGTAAGCATACTAAACAAAAAATCGTTTTTTCGTTGTTTTTTTTTTTTAATTTATAAAAGCGAAAAGATATAGGTTATTAAAAAAGGATGTGATAAAGTTAACATGAGAGGAGAGTTGGGCTGGGT